ATCTGTGAACTTTGACAAAAAGGGGAGAACTATTTAAAGTTCTGGATACAACTGTGGTAACCAATGGGGTAACGTAAGTAAATCTATCACTGATTCTATTGTGATAAAAGAGTTGGGTTCTAAAGCAATTCAGCAAACCTGTGTGGACTTTTGACATAAAAGAGAATTAATTAAAGCTCTGGATACCACTGTGGTGACCCATGGGGTAATGTAAGTAATTTAATCACAGATTATATTGTGATAAAAGAAGAGAGAAGAAATAATTTATCCTGTCAACTGGGTTCTAAAGTAACTGAATTAGCCTGTGTGGACTTTTGACATAAAACAGAATTATTTAAAGCTCTGTATACAATTATGGTAAGCCACAGGGTAATGTAAATTAACTTATCACTAATTATATTGTGATAAGAGAAAAAAAGAAAGAATTATTTAGAGTTCTAGATACAACAGTGATATCCTATAGTATAAAGAATTTTTGAACATACATTTGACTTGTTTTGAATATATTCTTTTAAGACAAGTGGATTATGCGCTGTCCATTTATTGTTTGAATTTATTGCCAGCAGGTCACAGACACCTACTGTAAAAGAATACAGCCCTTTAAAAATTATAGTACAAAATTACAAAAATCAACAAGTATAATCTGTAGAATTTCTCACCAGCTCGATTTCTGTGCTCACACAGCCATATCCCTTGCCATGTTCCAAGATTTAGCTTTCCATCTGACACAGGAATAGAGAGACTAGAGCCAATAAAACAAGCCTTGATATGAGCAGGCTGAAAAGAAAATCATAGGAATGTTTGTACTTTTAACAATATCATAATATTACTAATAACAAAAATACCCATTGTTAACACAGTACTCATCCTTAAAGATAATGTTTCTATCTCTGTACCTGAAATTTTCAAATGTGTGTAAGTACCAAAATCACCAACCTGATTATACGCACAGCTTAGTTTAATACCACTTATTTTCTACAGTTCCAGTCCCTTTTTTAAACCAATAAAAAACAAGTTAATTTATTCATTTTTCTCTTCTCCTGTTTCATCTGTAAAGGAAAAAAATATTCAAACTCCAAAACCTAAAAGTTCTCCATGGTGACAAGAAAGAAATACACTGCAAGTGATAATGGCCTTTATCTACCTTTACTAAACATTTGTTTTAAACTGGAAAGACTGGTATTAATAAAAAGTCAAAAATTATCCCAACAATCATACAAGTTCCTTTTAGAAATTAATTCAAGTAAAGCCAATGCAGTTTCAAATGTTAAATTTAACTCACCTTTTTAAATTATGGTCTACCTTGATTTTACACTTTCTAATTACTTTACAAAAAATTCCTACCTTTTTAAATTTTTACTGTGGTTAAGAATCACATCAAATACATCCATATGTATCTCAACTTTGCAAGTTAACTATATTTCACTTACGTTTTTTATATCCAGTATTACATTTATTCATTAAGTACCTAATACTTAATCAAACCAGAAAAGTTCTGATATTTTCATTTCAATATGAAACAAAAATCAAATAAGATTTTCCTCATGGTTATTCAGTGTCAGTACTTCTCCCTTTAGTTATTACTGTCAAATCCATGTTTTTCAAACCTTTTCCACTGACAACACCTTAATTCACTTACCTTGATTTGCATGACACCCCTGCTGCCACATGCAATATTTTTTGTACAGATTTTTTTATATTCTTAATCATTCTTCATTTGGTTAAACTCTCGCAACACCCCTAGTAACTTTCTGAGACACACAGTTTGGAAAGCACTAGGTTAGATACCTTATCAAATTTTGGCCAAGGATATTTTTTACTTGTACTTGATCAGGCAGATTTCAGTTAACAATAATAAAATGTTTTGATTTCTTTCTGGTTTTTCAAAGAAAAAGTGAAGAGGAAGAGCTGCTGCATTACCTGAGATAAATTGCATCATCTTAGCACCTAAAGCTACTAACAAACCTTATAAATTTATTACATCTTATAATAAGAGTATCAATAGGGGATAATTCAAGTTTAATCAAAAGCATCTAAAAGACTAGTATAAAAGCCCTACAAATAACAGGAAACCATTGTTGAATGATTAATGAAAATTATAGAATTTAACTAAAACGAATTTGTCTGTACCTCCAAAATGCACCTGCTCTTCACTTATTTCATCAATCTTGAGGTAATTCTTTAATCACCACATTTTTAGTAAAAACTACTTAGAAAAATTAAATGTTATCATGAACAAAAGTATGTGTGCACTCTGAAAGAGACTTAAATAGCACTCTTGAGCCTTACTTTATTCTATGTCAGGAATTAGAAAACATAGTGTGAACATTCTGATACAAATTTTCAACTCTTTCAACTGTACAAAGGACAAAATTTGGTAGTAATAAACGTTTATTTTGCATTATGTTTTAAGGCCAAGTAGGAAATATACGTGTTAAAATACCAAAAGAATATTTATTAATTAACATTTATTCACCACTTAAAACTTTTAAATACTGACTCTATATCGTTAGTAATAGTCTACCATATTTTTCGGTGTATAAGACGCACTTTTTTACCCCAAAATTTGATGTCAACATCTGCTTGCATCCTATACACCGAAGGTATGAATAATATATATATATATATATATATATGATATACACAAGCCAT